ACAAGACGATGACGAAGGCCACGGCAAGATCACGTCAAACCAGATGATTGGCGAACCACCTCCGTTCCAACAAGGTGCATTGCCATGCCGGCAATCAGTAGCATCACGCCACGCCACGCGCCGCTGACGCATGCGAACAAGATCATGATGATGACCATACCGTAACGTGCCATGATGCCAGGACAAGACAGGGTTGCTTGTAGGCCAAGTTTACTCATTTCTCACTCCCTTAGGCTCACAACCACTCGGTCGGAAGAACCCTCTTCCACATGTAACCCGGCCCCGCACTCTATATAAGGGGGAGCCAAAGCCACCATTCCAATGGGACAAAACCACCTCAACAAATGCGGCCTATAGAAGTGTGCCCTTTGGCCCGACTCACCAACCTGCAGCCATTCCCATCGCTTAGCTAGCCGCACCTCAGCCCACCGCTTGGGCGCCGTCCTGCTCAAGCCGCCCTATTCGCCGCTTTCTACCCTGCTCGCGCCGCCACCTAGCCGCGCCCGCCCTGCCACCTACGCATGGAGGTGGCGTGAGAGAGACAGAACAGAGCAAGACGGCCTCTCGGTGGGACGAGCACGCCATTAAATTGAGAGAGCGAGCACATCCTGAATCTTGCTTGAATATTTCCTCTCGAGAACTGCCCATTCTACTGCCGCAACCAAACATCCATGAAAGCGGGATGGATCGGTTCCATCCCGCGGTCCGCTCCTCAACCCAACGATCATAAGTCAATCGACTAAGCCAAGCTCGATGCTATCAAGAAGGTAGCGTGGAAGGACAAAGGAGCACACCTTTTAAAATCATGGCCCGGTGATGTATAACGACGCCGCCTTTAATGTAACATCGTCTTTTCTTATTAACGGTGATCATGCGTGGCTTTAATATATAGTTGTGATGCACGAATTTTAATTTGGAGAAGAAAATATACAAGAAACAGTAAGTACACACAATTAAGTTCTATTGCATGTGTTAATTAATATGCTAAACACTCCATGTGAGAATCGAAATATTTATTTGTTAACATTCGTTTTAATTTAGAAGTCAGCTGATGATCATGGTAGCCCTGCAAATGAAAAAATATCAATTACATGTACATGACCCCATGGTTAGTCTTGCACTCTGCCATCAACCTACAAGCAAAGCAACTGGCCGGCAGTTACAAGTCGCAAGCGCACTATCTCAGCCACTAATTTGGCCAGGTTCCCGCAGTGTGAAGCTGTGAAGCGCACTCTCTTTTTGCCTTTTGTTTCGAAGAAAGCATCTAGGGAAACACAAAAGAGGCATTATTATATTCAGTCTCTTTTCAGAAAGATACATACATCGTCCTTCCAATATTCGTTGCTTGCCAGAGAAGAAATTAAATGCATTTGTAAGAAGCTAAGTAATCTGTAATTGTACATCTATCTGTATGAATATCCAAGTGGGCACTAGCTATATATGAGAAGATTATCCTGTGTCAAACGGAAAATCTACATTTCATTAGGGCCCTTTGAGAAAATTCTTGTACATATATGTTAATCAAGAGAAATAAGAAAAATCTAATTAAGTGTACCCGGTTAGAATGTGGCTTGGATTAAAAGAGAGTTTATATCAAGAACAGCAAAAAAAAAAACTCATATTAAAAAAAATCAAAGAAATTTATCAATTGGATTGTATAGGACATGAATTATTCCACATCACAATAAATATATATATATATATATATATATATATATATATATATATATATATATATATATATATATAAACTAACCAAGTCACCCAGACTCCAACTAAAACTTTACTCAAATAAACCTATACATAGCTATCTAGGGGAGCCTGTTTGGTAGCCTCCCTACCGCCCACGTGAGAAACCGAGGCGCCCAAATGCCTCCGCCCCTACTTCCCCTTCGTAATCGCCTCCCACAACTCCTCTTGTTTTTACTGCTGCGTGTAGAACAGAAAACCCAGCTTCCCCACGCCTTCGCCTCCCGCCTCCCCCTGCCCTCCTCTCGCCGCCTCCCCGATGTCCCCAGCCCTCCTCGCCACGCTCTTCCGCAGTTGAGCCACCCCTTCTTCCTCTCAAATGTCTGCCACATTTCTTTCAGACTTCGCCAAGATCCATCCTGGTTGTCGGCCAGAAACACCAAGATCTATGGTGCTCCTCCTCCATGCCCATGGTAGTGCCTCCCTTCCATCATCTGCGCCTCCTCCTCGCCGCTTCGCTTTCCTCTTCCTTTGTCATTGAGGGCTGGAGTTGTCGTGGCGAAGGCCGCCAAGTGTCATGATACCTTCGGTATTTCAAGACACCGATAAGTTAGCCACTCGAGCAGCCCAACCAACAAGAACCTAACCGCCACGACCAAACAAAACCACACGGGCCTGTGGGACACACCAGAAAGTGGTCCACCACGACCTCTCCTTCCTTTGCGACGCGATGCGCCACAGACCACCTTCTCGCCCTCGACCCCCGGAGGGACGAAAAGGGTCGGTGCCATCAAGTACACCTGACCCGACAGGACAGATGCACGCCCCTCACTTCACCAGGACTAAGGGGATGGGGCCATCTCAAAGCAGATGCCATCCCCACGCGCTCGCTGCAGATAAGACAATATTTCACAACGTAGGGTGGTGACGACCGCACACAACACCGCACCGTCCAAATCCAGCCCGAGAAGACGGGCATACGGCTCCATCGACTATGGATGGGGCGCCCACGACCCCGACTTTGACTTTTTCAAGACCGGTCAGGCCACCGAAGCCTCGACCTCACAATCGGGGGTCCAGCCATCGGCATCACGACACCTGCAAAGGCGGCAAGCGACCAGGAGGCTACCTCGCTTCCGCACTATCGCCACGATGCCACCGAAGAACGAAAGATGATGACGAAGGCCACGACAAGATCACGTCGCCGCAGGGCGGTTGGCGAACCACCTCCATTCCAACAAGCCATTGTGGTTGGTAGCATGTAGCATCACGCCACGCCACGCCACGACAGCGAACAAGATCATGACGACGACCATACCAGAACGTGCCATGATGCCAGGACAAGACAGGGTTGCTTGTAGGCCAAGTTTACTTATTTCTCCCTCCCTTAGGTTCACAACCACTCGGTCAGGAGAACCCCTCTCTCCACATGTAACCTGGCCCCCGCACTCTATATAAGGGAGCAGTGCCACCATTCCAATGGGACAAAACACGAGAACACCATTCGGGCTCTCGTTCACCTCACTCCTACCTCTTTCCTTAAGCTTACACCCCCATGGTAAGAACTTCGAGCATTCAACCGAGGAACATGAACTCTAATCATCTCTCGAGGCCGGATTTGGGCTCCTACCCTAAACCAATTATAACTCTTCGTGTCTTTGAGTGCTACCATCGCTTCCTAGAGCAGCAACATGGCACATGTATAAATTCACTAGTCGGTCGACAAAACACCGACACAAAGTCACAAAAACATAGAGTAAGTGTATAAATGCAGTAAGAAGATGAGCAAGAGGGCCTAAATTCTGCATAAAGATTTATCCCATAATATCACAGAGCAAATCATCAGTACACCTTGGAACTTTGCCAAGAATGTTATGCTTTCATTCACCAAGCATATCCGATAGTACCAGTAGTCTTTATCTTTGGTCACTACTAGTCAATCTTCATGGTCAAGATATTTAAATTCATCATGGTAAATATATATATATATATATATATATATATATATGATTCATTAAATTAAATCAATCCAAATAAAGCTTCAGCCAGGTTCATGCAATGTGGAGCGAGCAAAGAAAGTCAAGCTTTTGCTTGGTCTCGAATATAGCATCAAAGGGAAAGACAAAAGGCATTATCTTTGGTGTCTTCTCGAAAAGATGCACGGTCCTTCAAATATTTGCTCATTCTTGGAGAAGAAACACATTTGTAAGAAAGATATATGGTCCTTCGAATACTTGTTGATTGTCAGAGAAGAAATGCATATGTAAAAAGTAATAAGATGTTTGTTTTGAGGAACCGCCACATTATGATGAGGTGGTGCATCATGAGTTTATACTAATTTGGTGAAATGACTCCATTTCTCATGTTTGTACTATTTTTTTTAGCTTACGGGGGAGTTGGTGATGGACCAACTAATTCTATACCACAAACCAAACAAAAAACGTAAGGTGAGAGAATATGATAGAACTAGTTCATTCCTTTTCAAATAACTGAGACCTAGCTAGTGTGATTGAATAAAATAAGTGTTTCTCGTTCCTTTCCAAATGTCCGAGGACTAAGGAAGCCTCTACGTGAGAGGAATGTTGAAGCATAAGTGAATTGTCCGTTGTTCACTGTCGACTTAAACTTTTAAGTTGAACTGATCGATAGATGCAACTCAATAACCATAGATATTCATAGGTGTGAGTGTGTATATGCATCTAGTGGTGGTGTGCGTGTGTGATTATGTGTGTGTGTGGGGGGGGGGGATAAAAAACATAAGGTTGTCATAAAGTTATGATACACTCTAAAGTTCTAACAGCATGTTTGGATCACCTAGCACTAGTTGTTAATCCACTACTTATTAGAACTAATTGTTAGATGACCAAAGTTTAATCCTATACTGTTTGGATACATTGATTAGTAGCTAGTAGTATTCCTAGACAAAGACTCCTATGCTCCTGGGTGACGAGAGAGAAAAGGGGGGAGATAAAGTAGGGGGAGGGCAGTGATGCCATTTTCTCAATCCAGTGGCTCCTTTTAGTCCTATTAGCTAGATATGGCCAACTAATGGACTACTAGTAGTTAATTGAGGTGTGTGTGGACTAAAAATTACTTCACTCATTAGTTCCTCTGTTTGGATGGCCTAGTACTAATTTTTAGGTGACTAACAATTAGTGCTGGCATGAAAGAGGCTCTTAAGTCCAGCAGCTATGTTACCGTACGTTTTTGTTGCTCTACATATAGATGGGTCCATCCATTCTGGAGACCAGAAAACAGCTTCGTTCCAGAGGTAGCCGTCCTCTTCTCCCACTAAGCTGACAAGCTGATCGATGGCTGCCACTTCTTCCTTTGGCGACGACGCTGACCTCATGGTTGCCGACGACCTGTACTTGATAGCAGTTTGCCAAGGAATAAGCCAAGCAGACGCCACCGGGCTCATGGCGATATCCGACGAGGAGTACGCCGCGGAACTCCAGCTCCAAGAGGTGATTGTTTCCTCCGCCATGGCGGTGATTACATTAATTCTGGCATGGCAGCGACTGCGCACAATCATCGCTCGTGCCGCAGCTTGATAGCGCCGTCGTCGTGCACAGTGCCAACAAAGACACAGCAGCTGCTGAGACGCCCGTGCTTGCCGTAGCTGGAGTATAGCTCCTCCTCCTCCTCTCGCCTCCGCCACCTCTTGCAGTTGCAGCCCCTGCCACCGGGGAAGACGACGCAACTGCGGTGGCAACTTGCAAGATCTGCCTGGACTACGTGCCACCGTCGCACGTGCACCACGCAAGTCGCGGCTGCGCACACGCCTTCTGCACAGCCTGCCTCTCCGGCTACATCAGCGCAAAGACCCAAGGCGGCCGCATCTCCGACATCAAGTGTCCGGGGGACGGGGAGGACTGCTGCAACGTCCTTGACCCCGAACTCTGTCAAGGCATCATATCCGGCGAGGCTTTCGAGGCCTTGTGCGCCGCACTGTGCATGTCCATGGTGGAGGGGGCCGGCAACTTTTGCTACTGCCCCTTCAACGACTGCTCGGAGATCTTGGTGGACGATCGCGGCGGCGACGTGCCGGAGTCGGAGTGCCCGGCGTGCAGGAGGCTGTTCTGTGCACGGTGCGGCGTGCCATGGCACGCTGGCATTAGCTGTGCCGAGTATGGGCAATTAGCACCTGGGGACAAGGGGAAGGAGGACTTAGTGGTGCTGGAGATGGCCAAGGGGGAGAAGTGGAAGAGGTGCCCCCATTGCAAGTTCTTGGTCGACAAACGCGAAGGCTGTGTGCACATAACTTGCAGGTGAAACTAAATCTACTCCTTTGTTGCGTAATTTAAGACCTAAGATGTTTTAGTTTTAGTTCTGTCGTTCTAAATCAAACTTTTAGGTTTATAGAAAAATATAGTATTATCTACAGTAATACAAATAAATATGCAATTAGGATATATTCCTTGGTAGATTTAATGAAACTAATTTGATGTCGTAGATGTTGATACATTTAATTTTTCGATAAACTTGATCAAAGTTAAAATGTTTGATTTAGGTACTTTAGATTGGATGGTGTAACTTGAGCAGTTAATTTGCTTTCTTGTACATACATCAAATTGATAGAAAATTGTTTTCAAGGCAACATAACTCCTTGAATTCATTATGTAGGTGTGGCTTCCAGTTCTGCTATGCATGTGGCGAGCCGTGGGCAGTCTCATCATTGCAACATGGCGTGAAAGCTGATTTTTGCGCATAATCCGGCAGTGGAAAGCGAATGAAGTTCCACGATCCATGCAGTCAAACTATTTTTAGTTATATATTGGCACATGCAGCCAAACTATTTCTCATATATGGCACTACCAAGAAGTAAAAACTAATAAGTGTAGTTCAATAACACATGTAGTCAAACTATTTTTGATTTTATGAGCTATGTATGTCATTGTAAGGTACTACATAAATCTCTAGCACAATTTTTTAACTAAATTATGATATTATATAGTAGTGCTATAAAGACATACATAAGTTGATAGCAAAATAGTTTGATTGACATATATCATAAGCCTACACATAAAAGCAATTATGTGTGTAGGCCTATGATACATGCAGTCAAACTATTTTGCATTTATGAACTTTGTATATCTTTATTGCACTACTATATAAGTGAAATAAATTGTCTTCGTTGCAGTATTACAAAAATCCCTATCAGATACAATCAAAGGCTGCTAAAATGGTTCTTGAATCTTAATATCACAAGCTGCTCAAAAGCCGCTTCTCACAGTATAGTACAATAAAATGCAATTCCAACCTAGAACCACGTTACTACATGTTTTTGGATCTTAGTATCACAAGCGGCTCAAAAACCTCATCATAGTAGTACAATGAAAAGCAATTCCAACCTAGAACCACCACTGCTACTACAGATTTTTGAATCTTAGTGTCACAAGTGGCTCAAAAACCTCTTCTCATAGTAGTACAATGAAAAGCAATTCCAACCTAGAACCACCATTACTATTTTCAGCTGCCTCTACAAATGACCTAATCTTTAGAGGCGGCTCTAGATGCAACCGCCTCTATAAATGGATTTCTAGAGGTCTGCGGGATCTAGAGCACGCCTCTGAAAATGATTTGTAGAGGCGGCTGGATTTAGGCCGTCTCTAAAAATAGGTGAAGCATAGTAAAATTTGAATTTTGTAAATAGCCTCAGATGGAGAAATGGCAAAAACTAAATTTATAGATCTCGAAGAGTTATACAATTTTATAGTTGACAACTTTTTCATTTGAAATCATTTATCCAAGGAAAATTATTTTTGAATTTTTCACAATTGAAATTCAATTTTTTCAAATGATCTCGGATGGAGAAATGACCAGAACCAAAGTTGTAGATCTCGACGATATCTACAACTTTGTAGTTTAAAACGTTTTTATTTAGATTTGTTTAGCTTCCCAAATACTCATTTTAAAATCCCGAAAGAGAATCTGAGGAGAATGAATATGGCTTATGGACATGAGGTCATTTTGGGTGGGGTGATTAGAGAAGTTACATTGCGAGGTCATAGGTCGGCCGGTTCAATCCTACCTAGATAGCAGAATGCTTTTTTTTTTCAGATGACTTTTTTTTCTATTTTTGGCCAGATTTATGATTTTTAGATTATTTCGAGAAGCGATTTGTAGAGGTGGCTATTGTTGCCGTCCGCCTCAAGACATCCTATTTCTAGGGCCGGCTAGGCAACCGCCTTTACAAATCGATGATTTCTAGTAATCGAAGAATAGAGGCGGCTGGCCCAACCACCTCAACAAAATGCGGCCTATAGTGAGTGCGTGCCGCCTTGGCCCGACTTCAGCCGCTTTGCAGCCATTCCTCACCGCTTTGCTTAGCCGCACCCTCGTCCACCTTTCTCGAAAGCCGTCACCGCCCATGCTTGCGCCACCTACTGCGTGCGCCTCTACCACCGCCACGCATGCCACCTAGCCGCGCTGCCTCGCCTTCGCTCGCATGGAGGTGAGCGTGAGAGAGACAGACAGAGCAAGACGGCCTCTCGGTGGGACGAGCACGTTTGGCCAATTTGAGAGAGCGAGCACATCCCGAATCTTGCTTGAATATTTCCTCTCGTGAACAGCTCCATTCTACTGTTTCGCAACCAAACATCCATGAAAGTGGGATGGATCGGTTCCATCCCGTCCGCTCCTCAACCCAACACATCATTAGTCAATCGACTAAGTCAAGCAATCGATGCTTCATCAAGAAGGTAGCGTGGAAGGACAAGCGAGCACACCTTTAAATCATGGCCCCAAGACGATAATGACATCAGCTTTACAGTAACATCGCTCTTTTCTTCACAACGGTGACTGCGTAGGCTTTAATAAATAATTGTGATGCACTGATGCACGAATTTTAATTTGGACAAGAAAATATACAAGAAACAGTAAGTACACACAAGTTCTATTGCATGTGTTAATTAATATGCTAAACACTCCATGTGAGAATCGAAATATTTATGTGTTAACATTCGTTTTAATTTAGAAGTCAGCTGATGATCATGGTAGCCCTGCAAATGAAAAATATCAATTACATGTACATGACCCCTGGTTAGTCTTGCACGCTGCCATCAACCTACAAGCAAAGCAACTGGCCTGCAGTTACAAGTCGCAAGCGCACTATCTCAGCCACTAATTTGGCCAGGTTCCCGCAGTGTGAAGCCGTGGAAGCGCACTCTCTTTTGCCTTTTGTTTCGAAGAAAGCATCTAGGGAAACACAAAAGAGGCATTATTATCTTCAGTCTCTTTTCAGAACGATACATACATCGTCCTTCCAATATTCGTTGCTTGCCAGAGAAGAAATTAAATGCATTTGTAAGAAGCTAAGTAATCTGTAATTGTACATCTATCTGTATGAATATCCAAGTGGGCACTAGCTATATATGAGAAGATTATCCGGTGTCAAACGGAAAATCTACATTTCATTAGGCCCTTTGAGAAAATTCTTGTACATATATGTTAATCAAGAGAAATAAGAAAAATCTAATTAAGTGGACCCGGTTAGAATGTGGCTTGGATTAAAAGAGGAGTTTATATCAAGAACAACAAAAAAAAACAACTCAAATTAAAAAAAAATCAAAGAAGTTTATCAATTGGATTGTATAGGACATGAATTATTCACACACAATATATATATATATATATATATATATATATATATATATATATAAAACCAACCAAGTCACCCAGACTCCAACTAAAACTTTACTCAAATAAACCTATACATCGCTATCTAGGGAGCCTGTTTGGTAGCGCCCCTACCGCTCCACGTGAGAAGCCGAGGAGTTGCCAAATGCCTCCGCCTCCCCACTTCCCCTTCGTAATCGCTCCCACAACTCCTCTTGTTTTGCACTCGCGTGTGGGAACAGAAAAAACTCGCTCCCCACGCCCCGCTTCCGCCCGCCTCCCTCGCCTCCTCTCGCCTCCTCCCCGATGTCCCCGCTCTCCTCCCCGCCACGCTTCTTCTGCAAGCCGAGACGCCTCTTCTTCCCCTCGTCTGCCACCTTTCTTTTCCTGCACTTCGCCAAGATCCATCCTGCGTCGCCCGCTGTTCACCAAGATCTATGGTGCTCCTCCTCCATGGCCATGGTGGTGCCCCTTTCCATCATCTCGCCTCCTCCTCGTGCTCGCCGCTTTCCTCTTCCTTCATTGCTTTCTTTGGAGCTGGAGTTGTTGTGCGAAAGGCTTCACAAGTGTCGGGCCTCATAAACCTGTTGGATGCATTTGAATGTGTATTTCATATGTTTGCTCGCATGGCACAAGCTTTAAATTTCAATATCCATGGTTGTGTGGTGTATGCTAGTTGTAGGTTTGAATGATGAAATGAAAAACTAGCATGCATAGGTTAAGTAACTAGACTCATGCTCACATTATGAAAACTAGACCCTCACTTCTAATTCTCATGGGGTATTCTAGATTTTGTGTATGACTAGTTACTAATGGTGCTAAGGATGGTATATTGTTGCACTCCGATTGGTATCACGCTTCAAAGGTCCATCTTTTATACATTAGCATCATTTGGTAGACATTGTCTTCTATATTTCCTATCTAAGCATATGTGCAAACTACAATCCAAACTCTTAGCACATATGTAGGGGGAGCAATTGCTACCATTTGGGGTTCATGAAACTTGTCCATATCCTTTTACACATGGTAAATATGTTTGGGCAAGCAATATGGATTCAATTAAATTTTAATTCATATCTTTGTGTAAGGGTTGTCATGATACCCTTTAGAGAGTAGGAAGTCCCTCAATCTCTCATACCATGCTCTAGGTGCTTGCTTCAAGCCATATAATGCCTTCTTCAACTTGTACACATGGTCGGGCTTCTCTTCATCTTCAAAACCGGAAGGTTGCTCAACATATACTTCTTCATTTATGTAACTGTTGAGAAATGCACTCTTGACATCCATTTGATAGAGTTTGATGTTGTAGGCACAAGCATAGGCTAGCAAGATTCTAATTGATTCTAATCTAGCAACCGGGGCATATGTTTCTTCAAAGTCAAGACCTTTAACTTGTGTATATCCTTGTGCTACCAATCTTGCTTTGTTTCTTACTACTATCCCATCTTGATCTTGCTTGTTTCTAAAAACCCATTTGGTTCCAATCACATTGTATCCCTTTGGTCTCTCTACTAATTCTCATACTTGATTTCTTGTGACGTTATTCAATTCTTCATGCATAGCATTCACCCAATCAACATCCTTCAATGCTTCATCTATCTTCTTTGGTTCAATGAATGACACAAATGAGAAATGCTCATAAAATGAAGCCAATC